ATGCTACACTAAAAATTAGTGTAGCACGAACAGTAGCTTTGAGTGCTGATTGTTGGACCCTAGAGGGGGGTGATTAGGGTCAAGAGGCTCTAATATGCAATAAAAATAAAACACAAGCAAACCACAAAACAGAAATGTAATCAAAGTAAGAGAGATAGGGTTAGGAATCGTTATCCTTGACGCGCGATGTGTTAACGAGGTTCGGCCCGCTGACCTACGTCCCCGCTCCCCACTCTCGAGGAGAAATCCACTACACACCCGGTTTGGAAGCCGGAACTTCGTCTACACAGTGATCCCACACGATCTCTCACTACACAGTTTGATCTCAACAGATCACACTCCCTCATAGTTGATCTACACAAGATCTCACTCACACAGCAGAAGAAAAGATGCAAGACCCTCTCTTTACACAGCCCCTATGGCAAAGAGAAGGATTACTAAAGCTGGGAAGTGAACACACACAAAACCACAGAGAAAAACACAGAAAACAGGTTTGAAAAATTTTCTCAGGAAGACAGCGTCTCTCTCTGGTTTTTGCAAACGTTAGGGCAACTGGGAAGATGAAGGAGAAAGGGTTTAAATATAAAAGATTAAACATTTTAAAAACACAACCCAATCTTCCCAATTAAGAAAATAATCTCCTTTTCACACCATTACCACAGACTGTGCCAAACACGGTTAAGTGAAAGCACAGCAAACGAGGCAATCGACCGTTTGACAGACTGTGCCAAACACGGTTAAGTGAAAGCACAGCAAACGAGGCAATCGACCGTTTGAAAAAAAAAGTTACGGCTGACTGAAGAAAATTTCGGTTGACCGAAGGGATTTTCGGTCGACCGAAAAAGTACTTCGGTCGACCGACCGAAAATCCGGTCGACCGCGAACAACTTTGAAAACCCAGAAAACAAGCAGAGCCATCATCGGTTGACCGACGCGGTCGACCGATATATCGAGATTTCGGTTGACCGCACCGGTCGACCGACGACCTCTCTGGAGCCCAGTAACGAATGATCATATGTGCGGTCGACCGGTTCGGTCGACCGCATTCTGATACATTGCAGAAACTGATTTTTGACTTAACTAAAATATTTGCAAAATATTTATTTGACCTCTGAAAATTATGAAACTTTGTAAAATGTTTTTAATACTAAAAACAAACTGTTTGGAAAAAGAATTTTGCAGATAGGTCCTCATACTTGTGAAAAATAGTATTTTGTGAAAAACGCTTAAAAACATAAGTATGAAAACGTGTGTGTGATTCCCAATAGCTTCAAGTAAAATCAGTAACTCTTTGCCTACATTCTAGCACTAGAGAGAAAATAAAAACTAGCTAATATCCTCACATAGAATAAAGTTCTTGAGTCTTGATATAACTTTAATTTTGATGAAGCTTCTATATGAATTTGTTGTTCTTGAAATAACATTGCTTCATCATTATGCCTCCTCCTCCTTTGGATATCATCGTTATAGCGTATGTTCCATCCAATCCTCCATTAATGGCACTAACAAGCTTGATAAATGAATTTACTACATTTGTACTCAATAAGCCATTAGTACCGATGATGATGGTTGTAAAACATCATCAAAACATAAGGGCTAACAATCTTCCCCTTTTTGATGATGACAACCAACCATTATATAAGAGCAAAAAAAATCAAAGTAAAAATAGCTTATAGATAAGTGCCCCCCCTATCTATGAGCTCCCCCTAAGTATATGCAACAAATGAGGAGAGGAGATTTCTCTCTCCCTTTGTCACCATCAAAAAATGGGGTAAAGAGAAATACAAAATGCAACTAAACAAGCAAGCAATGTTGAACTTTCACATAGTGCATAAGCCCAAACCATTTCTTATGCGACAAAAATCATCCTCTCCAAGAGGCTTAGTAAATATATCCGCTAGTTGAGATTTTGTGTCAACAAATACTAGGGATACATCTTGTCTCTCTACATGATCGCGTAAAAAATGATGGCGCACATCAATATGCTTAGTTCTAGAATGCAAAACCGAATTTTCGGAAATATTTATAGCACTTGTGTTATCACAAAAGATTTTAATATTTTGAAAGTTCAAATCATAGTCAACTAAGCTTTGTTTCATCCATAAAACTTGAGCACAACATAAACCGGCGGCAATGTATTCCACTTCCGTAGTGAACAATGCAACACAATTTTGTTTCTTGGAAGCCCAAGAAACAAGGGAATTTCCTAAGAATTGGCATGTTCCACTAGTACTCTTGCGATCTACCTTACATCCGGCAAAGTCGGCATCACAAAAACCATATAAATCAAAAGAGGTGCTTCTTGAATAAAATAAACCAAGGTTAAAAGTTCCATTAACATACTTAATGATTCTTTTAACCGCAAATAAATGAGATGCTTTTGGAGATGCTTGAAAACGTGCACATGCACACACACTAAACATGATATCGGGTCTACTAGTGGTGAGATAAAGAAGACTACCTATCATACCTCGGTATAGTTTTTGGTCCACATCTTCACCACTCTTATCCGCATCAAGCTTAACACTAGTACTCATGGGAGTAGGCGCATGCTTAGAATTCTCCAACTTGAATTTCTTCACCAATTCCTTCGCATACTTGCTTTGTGAAATGAAGATCCCATCCTTAGTTTGCTTGACTTGGAGCCCGAGAAAGAATGTAAGCTCTCCCATCATACTCATCTCAAAGTGATCCTGCATAACTTTAGAAAATTCCTTGCACAAGGATTCATTAGTAGCACCAAAAATAATGTCATCCACATATATTTGAACCAAAATGAAATCATTTTTCCTTTTTCTCACAAAAAGTGTGTTATCAATTGTTCCTTTTGAAAAACCATTTTCAATAAGAAAACTAGAGAGGCGAGCATACCAAGCCCTAGGAGCTTGTTTCAACCCATATAAAGCTTTTTGTACCCGGTAAACATGATTAGGAAAAGCATGATCTATAAAACCGGGGGGTTGCTCAACATACACTTCCTCTTCTATAAAACCATTTAAGAAAGCACTTTTGACATCCATTTGAAATAGTTTGAAATTTTTAAAACTAGCAAATGCCAAAAACATCCTAATAGATTCCAACCTTGCAACCGGTGCAAAGGTTTCATCATAGTCTATGCCCTCCTCTTGATTGTATCCTTGGGCAACCAAACGAGCTTTATTAATTTCTTCGCATACTTGCTTTGTGAAATGAAGATTCCATCCTTAGTTTGCTTGACTTGGAGCCCGAGAAAGAATGTAAGCTCTCCCATCATACTCATCTCAAAGTGATCCTGCATTACTTTAGAAAATTCCTTGCATAAGGATTCATTAGTAGCACCGAAAATAATGCCATCCACATATATTTGAACTAAAATGAAATTATTTTTTCTTTTTCTCACAAAAAAAGTGTTATCAATTGATCCTTTTGAAAAATCATTTTTAATAAGAAAACTAGAGAGGCGAGCATACCAAGCTCTAGGAGCTTGTTTCAACCCATATAAAGCTTTTTGTACCCGGTAAACATGATTAGGAAAAGCATGATCTATAAAACCGGGGGGTTGCTCAACATACACTTCCTCTTCTATAAAACCATTTAAGAAGGCACTTTTAACATCCATTTGAAATAGTTTGAAATTTTTAAAGCTAGCAAATGCCAAAAACATCCTAATAGATTCCAACCTTGCAACCGGTGCAAAGGTTTCATCATAGTCTATGCCCTCCTCTTGATTGTATCCTTCGGCAACCAAACGAGTTTTATTTCTAGTAACAATGCCATGTTCATCAAGTTTGTTTCTAAAAACTCATTTAGTACCAATAACACTAGCATTGTTAGGTCTAGGAACTAACTTCCAAACTGCATTTCTTTGAAAATTGTTTAATTCTTCATGCATAGCCAAAACCCAAAATTCATCATTTAAAACATCATTAACCTTTTTAGGTTCTAGTTGAGATAGAAATGCAACATTACCACACTCACTCAAGGCTTTTGAGCGAGTAATAATTCCTTTTGAAGGGCTACCAATAATTTGTTCCTTTGGATGGTTTGATGTGAATTTCCAAGCTTTAGGAGGTTCAATATGCTCATTGTCATTTGAGCTATCCACATCCTTTTGAGCTTCTATAGAAGGAGTATCATTGATTTGCAATAGGTTCAATCCTCCCTCAACATCATCATCATCATCTTTCCTAGGTAGAAAAACTTGAGAACCAACATTAGTCTCATCAAA